TTTTAATTGAAACTTTAATGAAAGTTTACAGAAAAATTGGATTCATTCATTGTTGCACATTTTCCTCCCTCCTACCCCCACCCCCAGTTCATTTTGCTCTTTAAAAAGATTCTTTCATTGTTGCACAATATCCTCCCTCCCCCCACGACCCAGTCCACCTCTCTTTTTTTAAGTTTTTTTTTTTTAATTTTAATGAAAGTTTACAGAGACTTTGGATTTCCATTCATTCATTGTTGCACACTTTTCTTCCTGCGCACCCTTCCACCCAGTTTGCTTTTCTCTTTGAAAAGTAAAAAAAAATTCCTTGTTATACAGTTACAACCCCCCCTTCCCCTGCCAGTCCACTCCACTATGCAGCTTTTCTATGCACCTCTTAATCTGGACTGTTGCCATGCAAATAATACCTAATCATATATTTCTTTTAGACAGTTCTTTCCCTAATCTGTTTCAATGCAATGTTCATTATTTATCCCCTCCTTTTTTTGTTTCCCTTTAACCCCCATGCCAGTCCTGTTGTGTATTTTTGTTTTTGGGTTTTTTTTAGTTTGGAGATTTTTAAAAATTTGTATTAAATTTTATTGATTTTAATGAACATTTACAGAGATTTTGGATTTCCATTCATTCATTGTTGCACTATTTTCTCTACCCCCCCAGTTCATTCCTCTTTTCCCCCCCTTGAAAGTCTGTTTTAATTGTCCCATTGCCACAGTGCTTGTCAAAGCCAGTTCTGATTGATTTCCTTTGTCAGTGTATCCTTTGCCATTCCCTATCACTCCTCCCTGAGTAAGACTTCACCCTGATTCATAAGGGCCAGCCCTGTTTTATAACAGTGGCATTATGCAGTATTTGTCCTTTTGCGATTGAGATATTTTACTCAGCATAATGTCCTCCAGGGTTACCCATTTTGTATAATACTTAATTCCTTGTTTTTCAGTGCTGCATAGTATTCCATTGTGTGAATATATTGCAGCTTCTCTATCCATTTGTTGATGGGCACTTGGGTTGCTTTCCTCTCTTTGCCATTGTGAACAATGTAGCAATAAACATGGGTGTGCCTATGTCTGTTTGGGTGGCAGTTCCGGTTTCTTTAGGGTATATTCCCAATAGTACAATTGCAGGGTCAAATGGTATTTTTATTTCCAGCTTTTTGAGAAAGTGCCATACTGCCTTCAGAGCAGTTGCACCATTTTACACTCTCACCAACAGTGAATAAGGGTTACAATTTCTTCACTACCTGTCCAGCATTTGTTTTTTGCCTATCTCCATACCTTTTCAATCTATATGTGGAACAGATCATCCAGGAGGTTGGGCTCTATGAGGAGAAATGTGGATTGGAGGAAGACTCATCAACAATCCGAGTTATGCAGATGAAACAACCTTGCTTGCCAAAACTGAGGAGGACCTGAAGCATTTGCTGCAGAAAGTCAAGGACTGCAGCCTTCAATATGGACTGAAGCACAACATCAAGAAAACAAAGATTCTCACCACCAGGCCAATTGGCAGCAACATCATAGATGGTGAAGAGATTGAGATTGTTAACAACTTCAGCTTGCTTGGCTTCACAATCAATATTCTTAGTACTAGCAGCCAGGAAATCAAAAGATGAATTGCATTGGTAAATCTGCTGCCAGGAACTTCTCCAGAGTACTGAAGAGCAACAGTGTCAGTCTAGAGACTAAGATGTGCCTGACCCAGGGCATAGTCTTTTCTTTTTCCCTTTTCTTCCACTTCATTTCATATTCCCACCACAGTAATGACTCCTTTAATTTAAACTAAAAACCATAGAGGATTCCTGGAATCATTGCAGCAAAGGAACAGGGGTGTAAAAGACTGAGGGACAGGTAGGATGGAGAATCAGCGAATCGTCTTGACTGGGCTCTTGAAGTTGCTGGTGGCCTGAAGCTGCAGCTGGTAGGCCATCGGGTGGATCTTGAAACCATAGAGCCTGGGCACAAACTGGTTGGCAGGTTGCTTGGGCCATTACTCAGGGTGCACCCTGAAGAGCATGTGGGGGAAGCCAGTTCCAAAGTAGGTGCAGTCTGTGGGGTGATGCCTTGATGACTTGGGTGTGTACACGTCCATGCAGTTGGGGCAGTAGAGTTTCACCATGGCCTCACCAGGGATGTCTGACAGGCCGATGGGAAGCATTGGCTGGTTCTCACAGTACACATGGGGACAATAGCCAAAGTCTCCCTGCTGGTACTTTTCCAACATCTGGTCAATGCCACGGTTGGTGAGGATATAGCGGGCGTGGATCAATCCATACAGCATCTCAGCTGCCTGCTCAATCAGGTCACTCTGGTTGAGGTTGTCTTCCAGCTCTTCATCAGGCTCCAGGTCCAAAATCATGTCTAGAGCTTGTCGATAGTGGGGCACCTGTTCATTGAGGCCCGTGAGGTTGAACTTGCCCAGTATGTAGTCTTCATCCACTTCACAGAAGAATTCATTGCCACAGAGTCCACAGAACCAGGAAATCCAGGACACCTCCTCTGAACTGCTCATCTTCACGTCTGCTGCTGGACAGGGGCTGGGGTGGGGAGGGGTGTAGCTGCTTCCAAGGAGCAACAGCGACAGCTACAACCAAGGCCGCAGACAGGCGAAGTGCGGTGGTGGGGAGGGGGACTGGAAATCGGGGTGGGTAGGGAATAGGGCCAGGGCATAGTCTTATCAAGCACTTTCTATGTATCAGAGAGCTGGACAATGACTAAGAATGACAGAAGAAGAATCAATGCCACTAAGTTGTAGTGGTGGAGAAGAGTATTGAATATATCACAGACTGCTAAGAGAACAAGCATGTTCACCCTGCAGAGGGTGAAACTAGGCTGCTTCTTGTAGCAATCCTATGTACAACAGCTTTGAACCCTGCTCTATCCTGAGCCAATCTTACTGTCTCTGACACACCTACCCCAATTACTCCAGTCACTGAGTCAATCCATCTCACCAAGGGTCTTCCTCTCTTGTGCTATCTATCCCTCCACCCTCCCAAGCATAATTTCCCTCCTGGCAACATGCCCTAAGTATGTCTGACAGCTTCAAAATCTTTTTCTCCAAGGAGCAACCTGGTTTCATCCTCCCTAGGACAAACCTGTTTGATCTCCTAGTTGTTGTTGTTAAGTGCCATGAGTCGCAGGCGACTCATAGTGACCCTATGAAGGAGAGTCCTCAACGCTTGGGTGTCTCTCATCCTCTCTCCAGGTTCATAGGGTTTCCAGAGGCAAGCTATTACAGAAGTAGATGGCACTCCTTCCAAGCTTGTTTTAATCGGGGAGCTCCACCCCACTCTCTGTCCGCATTGGTCAAACAACCATTAGTGCATTTGACACATCAGTACCACAGTGTTCAGCCTCCGCTGTACAGAAACTTGTACACCAGGGCTATACAACCTAGAGGAATGTCTGAATAAAAACAATGAAAGAAAGGCCCGAGGGCCGCGGATTAAAAGTCACCCACCTTTGGCTTGGTAGCATCGCTTTCTGTCCACTGGACCAGCTGGCCTATGTTGATGTCATTGTTGCTAATTGCGGTTGAGTCGCAGGCGACTTATAGCGACCCTATGAAGGAGGGTCCTCAACACTTGGGTGTCTTTCATCCTCTCTCCAGGTTCACAGGGTATACAAGATTCAGGACTATAGTATATTCAGTACTTTTCTCCAGAAGCATAGCTCACAGTCATCAGTTCTTCTATCACCCCTAATTGTTGTCCAGCTTTCTGATGTAGTATATGAGTACTCCAACTATCCACAAACTACTCATATGCAAGTTCAAGCTGAAGCTAAAGAAAATGAAATAAAAATCTGCAGAACTAAAATTTGATCTTTAGTCTGTTTTACTTGAATTACAAAACCATCTCAGCAACAGGTTTGAGGCCTTGAACACCATTGAGCGAAGACTAGATGAGCTGTGAGAGAATATCATACATGAAAAATATAAAAGGTCATTACAAAAGCAGAGGAGGAAGAAAAGACCAAGATGGATGTCAGACGAGACTCTGAATATGGCACTAGAATGCCAAGAAGCCAAAACAAAGGGACGAAATTAAGGAGCTGAACAGAAGATTTCAAAAGGCAGCATGGGAAGACAAAGTAAAATATGACACATGGTGACCCTATAAACAACAAATCTGAACCCTTCCCTGTTCTGGGCCATCCTCATCGTCTTTGACATACTTGAGTCATTGTTCCGGTCACTGTGTCTATCTGTCCTGTTGAGAATCTTCCTCTCTTGCTGACCCTCCACTTTCCTAAGCATATCTTTTTTCAATATATGTGTGTGAAACAAAGATTCCCCATTCTCGCCTCTGGAGCATTCTTGTAGTACCTTCTCCAAGACATATCTGTTTGTTGGCAGTCCATGGGATATTCACTACTCTTCTCCAAGACCACAACTCAAAGACACTGATTATTTTTCTATTACCCTTATTCATTGTCCAGTTTTCAGACATATAAGCAGGTGATTGAAAGGACTAATTGAGAGAGGGTTACTGGTAGAGAGGGTGTATTAAATTGTCAGGAAACTACAAGACGAAGCGAAAGAACTCATGCCAGTCTTTCGAAAAGGACATCATGCTTGGAAAAGTGGAGGGTCTGAAAAGAGGGAAGACCCTCAACGAGATGGATTACAATGTCTGTAATGGTGGGCTGGAGTGTGTCAGAGATGATGAGGATGGCAGAGGATAGGACATGTTTCAGAACAAAGGTTCACTGGATTGCTATGAGTCGTTGTTAGATGGCAATTAACAGCAACCCAACACATAATTAACAGCTTTAAGTGAACAGGGAAGGAGCAGAGTATCTCCAAGTCTACAAGGAAAAGCCACCCTTTATCCTTCCCTCCCACACTGGCTGAGACATGCCCCGCCTTCTTTCGGTGACGAATACACCCAGGTGACATTTCCGGTCCCGCCCCCATTCTCACTGGTCCTTCCGCTGAAGGGGTTTTGAGCTGGTACTCAACGTGGAGTTGACAGCCAATCGATTGCGCCACTTCGAACCCGTGGGAGCATGGAGGACACGTGTGAGAAGGCCGTAGAACATGAGAGCGACGGGGAAGATCCTGACTCTGCGGAAGCCCCACTCCTGATTCGGGAGACTCCGGAAGACATTGTGCTGGAAGCCCCGGCCAGCGGTCTGGCGTTTCATCCTACCCGTGACTTAGTGGCAGCAGGGGACGTGGATGGGGACGTATTCGTGTGAGTGTATGACGGGGCGGGGCGTGGTGGGAGCGGCCACTAGTTTACCCTGAATCTCCTTGCGCATTGAGTTTTGACAAGGAAGGAGATGAGAAAGTTGGCAAGACTGGACAGGTCCGTTTCGTTCAATAAATTTAGGCAACACTAGACATGCCGGGGATCGGATTTCTGCCCTGTTGGACAGAATATAGTAGAACTGCCCCATAGGGAGGAGCACTGTGGCGCATTGGTTAAAACGATTGAATGCTAATCTCAGAGTGGACAGGTTGTTCTCAAAAGCGACAAGAACAGGAATCTAGTTTAGCAAACTAACGTAGGGGGCAGGTACGTCTTTGTCCCTAGATACATCTTTATCCCTGCAGAGCAGGTTTGGATTTCCAGCCTTTGATAAGCAGCCAAGTACTTTGACCACTGTGCTACCCGGGCTTCTTTTGAAGAAATTATTGCTTAGAAATTCTTTCAAATAACTGAAAGGAGACCAGGGTGTCAGAGCAGAGAGACAGTAGCAAGACCAGAACAAATCCAAGATAATATTCTTAACTGTTTATTACTGTTTGCTCCTCTTTAATCTTTTTTTTCTTTCATGATTTGTATTTTTTTAACTTAATTTTTTTAA